AGCTATTTTTGGCCCGGAAAATGACCCAGAAAACAGGCCAAAAAATGAGCAGGGGTGGGGGCAGTTAGTGCTCGGATTTGCCGGTTCGCTAAACTACGCAGAATCTTAATTACCGGTTCACTTGAACCGGTGCAAACCGGCAGTAGCCTATCTGTGCTTTGTGGTATATCTAACAAAGTTAGAAAGCCACAGTATCAGACTTCAGTTTCAGCTGGCACGGCTGCATAAGTTTTATTTTTACTCTGACTGTAATACACCATTACAGTATAAAGGTAGTCCTTGACTTACAACCATTCATTTACTGACCATTCGAAATTACAACAACAACACTGAAAAAAGTGACTCATGACCATTTTCACATTTATGACCGTTGCAGAATCCTCATGGTTCGGTGATCAAAACTCAAATGCTTGGCAACTGGCATGTACTTACGACGGTTGCAAAGTCCCAGGTTGATGTGATCACCTTTTGTGACCTTTTTGTGACTTCAATGGGGAAGTCAGATCCACTTAACAACCGTGTTACTCACTTAACAACTGCAGCGGTTCACTTAACAAGAAAGGTCATAAAATGGGGGCAAAGATCACTTAATTGTCTTGCTTAGCAACAGAAACTTTGGGTTCAATTGTGGTTGTAAATCAAGGATTACTTGTAACTGATTTTATTGCTTCTGCATATTTTTAAATATATATTTTTTATTGTAATTGTGCTGGGAAAGAGGGTGTATTTCCATATTTCTATGTTGCTTAATATCCAATGACAGGCAAATGAAATCCATGAGCAATTATTTTTTTTTAATTTGATTTATATGCCGCCCTTCTCCGGAGACTCAGGGCGGCTTACAGTGCGTTAAGCAATAGCCTTCATACTTTTTGCATATTTTATACAAAGTCAGCTTATTGCTCCCCACAAACTGGGTCCTCAATTTACCTACCTTAGAAAGGATGGAAGGCTGAGTCAACCTTGAGCCTGGCGAGATTCGAACTTACTTTAATTGCAGACAGCTGGTGCTGAATTACAGTGCCTTGTCCGCAGAGCTATCCAGGCTCCTTTTTCATATATCAAAAAACAAATCGCTTTGCAGAGCTAACAAAGTGTAACTTTGCATAGATCCTTTATTTTTTTTACATAAGCTCCATGTCAAAATGGCAAGGGGACAGTACTATCATTCAGAAGCAATAAGACAAATCTTTGTTATATTACAGTACAGTGAGAGAGAGAAAAAATATTTTGTTTTAAATAAAAAAATAGGACCAAAGGGAGCTATGGCCATTTTTCTCAAAATCCTGCAAAAGAGGAATAGAATTCAGAGATAGCAATCCTTTGAATGCCCTTTGAAGACAAGCAAAGAATAAAAACAATGTTTCCTACTAAAGTTTGAAAATAGCAACGTTGAGTAAGACTTTCCCATCTGTTAGCTGGTTAATTTTATTCACTGCTTTGTATATTGGTGTAAGAAATTCTGGGAAACCACTTTGCAATTCAAATATATACGATAGATGTGTCTTTTTGTTTGTTCGCATCCTGGCTTTATTATTTTTACAAATAACTCAAGGCGGCAAATGTAGTAATGCTCTCCCTTCCTCACCCCTTGGCCACGCCCACCATGGCCACACCCACCCAGTCGGTCATTAGGGCAGAGATCCGGTTGTTAAATTATTTGAATCCCACCACTGGACTCATCCAATGAATAAATTCTTTTTCTACATGCAAATAAATAGCACGAGAGTTTTGTTCCACCTTCAAATGGAAATAGAAGCAAAACTCTTCCTTGCAGATGGAAAAAAAAACAAAAAACTCTCACCAATGGAAAAAGGCTCGGTGTGCATTTTTATTATTAGCACATTACTTTTTTTTAAAACATGTGATATATCGCCAGCCCCAGGAACCAACACCTCATTTTCACGATCTCCCCTTTAACGACACAAATGAACGTTAGTTTCCTAGCCTTTGTGCTAAATATGTAGCTTGGGGGCTTAAGAATTCAATTTTTAAAATACAAAGAGAAAAAAAATCATTTACCTCCAGCAAAAAAAAAAAAAAGGGGGGGGGGGGGAATGGGCCCACCCATTTTAACCCATAAAAAATTTTTTTTTTTTTAAAAAAAAAATACAAATACAAGAATTCAAACATTTCCGTGGTGGCGCAGTGGTTAGAGTGCAGTACTGCAGGCTACTTCTGCTGATCACCGGCTGCCAGCAGTTTGGCAGATCGAATCTCACCAGGCTCAAGGTTGACTCAGCGTTCTGTCCTTCCGAGGTGGGTAAAATGAGGATCCTGATTGCTGGGGAAATAGGCTGACTCTGTAAACCGCTTAGGGCGGGCTGTAAGGGGTATATAAGTCTAAGTGCTATTGCTATTTGCTCTCACTATGCATTTTGAACAAGTGCAAACCAACTGTTTGAGAAAAAGTTTGCTAACTGATTCTGTGTATTTTGTAATGTAAGTTTGGCAGGTGGATTTCAGGAGATTTTAGATATAACCAGTAAGAAACAAGCCTGTAGTACAGTGGACTAAAGCACTGTTATTAACAGATTAACATCTGCTGCTTGCAATTACTGCAAGTTCAAATCTCACCAGGCTCAAGGTTGACTCAGCCTTCCATCCTTTCTAAGGTAGGTAAATTGAGGACCCAGATTGTGGGGGCAATAAACTGACTTTGTATAAATATACAAAAGTATGAAGGCTATTGCTTAACGCATTGTAAGCCGCCCTGAGTCTCCGGAGAAGGGCGGCATATAAATTAAAGCAAAAAAAAAAATATCTCTCTTTTTATCATGACTGAAATCTCCTCCTCCTCCTCCATCTTCTAGCCCAATCCCTGATTGAGCAGGAGATCTTATACCATTCCAGACAAATGGCTGTACAATCTCCTTGAAAACCTCCAGTGATGGAGCATCCACAACTTCTGAAGGCAATATCATTCCACTGATTAATTGTTCTCATTGTCAGGAAATTTCTCCTTACTTCTAGGTTGGCTCTGTCTTTGAAGATCATCACTCATCATTTCTTGTCTTGCCCTCAGGTCCTTTAGAGAATAGGTTGTCCCCAGTGGTGGGTTTCAAAATTGTTTACTACCGGTTCTGTGGGTGTGGCTTGGTGGGTGTGGCTTGGTGAGCTTGGCAGGGGAAGGATACTGTAAAATCTCCATTCCCATCCCACTCCAGGGAAAGGATACTGCAAAATCCCCATTTCCTCCTGATCAGCTGGGACTTGGGAGACAGAGAAAAGATGGGGGCGGGGCCAGTCAGAATTTTTACTACCGGTTACTACTACTACTCAAAATTTCCGCTACCGGTTCTCCAGAACTGGTCAAAACCTGCTGAAACCCACCTCTGCTTGTCCCCCTCTTCTCTGTGACAGCCCCTCAAATACTGGAAGGCTGCTATCATGTCACCTCTAGTTCTTTCTCTTTCTTAGACCAGGCATACCTGGTTCCCTCAACTGTTCATTGTACGGATTTTTGGGGAGTGAATAGACATTTTTTAGGCTAAATATACAGTAGTGGCCAAAATTGTGGAAACCCTTTGGGAAAAGTGTATTTTCTAACACTAGCTAATAACACCACTTTTTTTGAGAGAGTAGTACCATAAAATTATATATCAATGGAAAGATAATTTAATCAAGAATGCAATGCAATAACTTTTATGATTTACTATTAGAATAGCAGTTATAAAGAAGTGAAATGAGATATACATAAATTATCACCACAGGAAAAAAACGAGATATACAAAAATTATTTCCAAGTCAGTGAATACTTAGTTGGGTAACCTTTAGCATGAATTACGGCCTTACAACGTCTTCCCATGGAGGGAACCGAGTCCTTTAGTTCTGCAGCTGTTATAATGTGAAACCAAGATTGAATGATGGCTTCTATTAACCGGGTTTTATTGCTGGGTCGCTTCTGACTAACAAGTTTCTTTAGTCGGCTCCATAGATTTTCAATTGTGTTAAGGTCTGGCCTATTCCCAGGCCATTCCAGCAGTGGAATAGGATTATCTTGAAACTCCAAAAAAAAAAAAGTGGTGTTATTAGCCATCAAACCTCAAAAATACACTTTTCCCAGAAGGTTTCCACAATTTTGGCCACTACTGTAGACAAGCTTTAACAAAGAAACAGAAAACTAACCATGGCTGCTATGATGACCAGGTCTTCATTGATGGTCACAAAATTGACCACCTGTTCATCACTCATTGAAGGGTTTCCAGCAGTAATGCTAGTGTTTTGAGTTTTTGTGTGGGACGTCAAAGCTGTGTTAGATAGTTCATCTATGACAATGTTGTGGCCTGTCAGCGGCCTGTGCAGCTAGTAGCTGATTCTGACAGCGAGGAGGCTGGTGTGGTGCTGCGCCAGCAGCCTGTGTAGCTGGCACTCGAGTCAGACAATGAGGAGGCTGGAGAAGATGTGGTGCCAGAGGCAGGGATTCAGCCAGGGCCTTCAGAACCTCCAGAAGCTCCCATAATTGAAGAGGAAGAAGAGGAGGAGCCTCTTCTCGATGCATGAGCGCGCAGAGCTGCCAAAAGGCAGGAGTGGCTCCTCAGGAGAAGGTCTCCTTGAGAGTACGGCTTGGGGCTAATTGGCCACTCCCTTAGCCTATTTAAAGAAGGACGACGACTGAGGCAATTTGCAGGGAGCAACTTCGTTCACTCTCCTTTGCGTCCTGATCTTAGTTCTCTGCAAATTGCTTCTGGGCTTTCTGCCAACCCTAGTAAGATTATGATTATTTATTCTTTGGATTCTTGTAGGCTGTTAAGAAAGTTAATTAACGGCCTTTATTTGAAAAAGACTGATTTAATTTAGTTCAACTAAGGTTTGTACAGACTTTGTGTGTGCTGCGTTCTTTGGGGTCCGTAGCTGGGGCAGAACAGACAAGCAGATTTACTCCCGCAAGCTACTGCAACATTGCAACCATCAAGCAATGACCAATAATAATAATAATAATAATATAATAATAATAATAATAATAATAATAATAATAATAATAATAATAATACCTAAGAAAGATTTCACATTTTTAATCAACAAACGATAGGTTGGCTAGACAATATTTATACCTCATTTATACCAAAGATTTTACACCAGCTTGAATATGTGGTCGAGTGCATGGTGATGGTTGGCTTCTTTAGTGCTTTATAAAGGAATGGTATAAAGTTATGTTTAGCCCTTCTTTAAATAAATTAATACTGTAAGAAGTGGAGAGAACGGATAGCACAAATCTTGAGGTCAGATCTGGTGTCTAAATACAAGATCAAAACACTCCATAAAGCGAGGGTCTTTCACTGAGCAAGTCAAAACAAAAAAAAAACTTCCTGCATCCTGCAAAAATTGTTGCTTTCCATTTTCTTTTTTCTTTTAATATTCCAAGACCATCTCGGAATTGCAGTCCAGATCCAGGAGAAAATGAAACTCCTCATCTCTTCAAGATCCTTAGCTCCCTCTTTTCACAGTGGAAAGACGAGGATTCAAGTTTTGCCATGTGCTTTTGCTGCTTGTGAAAAAAAAAACCACACAAAAAAAACAATAATAGATCTTCACAAAATTGCTTTTTCCTGCAAAAGGAGGAAAAGAAGTCTGCAAGAAGAGACGAGCAAGACATTCTTTTGCCACAGTTTCTGGGCAATTATGAGAAAGTTGTTTGTGGTAACCCAAAGGTTATACGTCGCCGTCGGAAGGCCCATGTGAAGATTTACTCTCCTGGAGATCAGAGGTGCCATTTTCGGAGACAGCCGAGCTGCTGTGGAGAGATTCTGGGGAAGGGGCTTTGTAGAGCATGCAGGCCAGTAGGAAGAAACACGAGCCCATCACCTGTAAGACATCCAAATTTTGGTTTTTAATCCTTCAGCAAGAACGCCGTTCCTACGTGTCCCCAGTTTCTCAGAATACAAAAAACAAACAAACAAAAAGATTTATTTATTTATTTATTTATTGGTTCGATTTATATGCC